TTCTTTGTCGAACTTAGGGGCTTGAATTGTCAACATTGTTCCCCTGTTTCGGCTTTGGGGTAGATGTCTAAAATTTTTGGGGTTTATAGATCAAGGAATCTGTATGTGTGTGTGTGTTCCATCGCATTTCTTATATCGCACATAATCTACTCAATTCTGTATCACTGAGCAGAAGCACTCATGAGTCATTTCTTGTTTAATTCTTGAGAAATACTTGGATCTGTTAAATGAAACTTTTTCGATGTTCAGCTCAATAAAATAAATGCTTAGTTTTAGGCATCGCTGAAAGAGTTCTAATTTCATTGCTTTAATTTATATATCTGTCTAACCTCTAACTATCCATAAGCTGGTAGGAACGTGACTTTTTACACTCATCATGTATCAATATTTTTGTTTTGAAAACAACCAACTTGTATGGTTTGGTTTCTGTCTTTATGGTAGCTTCGTTTTCCATGTCACAGGCTCTGCAAATGGACAAAATTGCAGTAAAGTTCCGTCAACTGACAGAACATATTGAAGAAGCTCTGAGCCAGATTCCTTGTGATAAACTCAATATCTCAGAGGAAGTGCGAGAACAGGTACTTCAGGACCTTTTTTCTTTTTTCAGAAACATACTTCAGACTAAAAACTTTATGGAAGTCTGTACTTTCTTTTTTATTGACCAAAGTTATGACCTGCTTATACTTCCTTCAGATTGAACTTGTGCATGTACAATTTAAAAGAGCAATGGGCAGGATGCACTCACCTGATTTGCAACTGGAAATGGATTTAGCTATGGCACAAAAGGAAAAAGACCCTGACCTTTCCATTCTGAAAAGTCTTTCGGAAAAGTTGCATCTCAGGACTATAAACAATTTAAAGAGGGAGTCAATTGCTATCCACGATATGGTTATATATAGTGATGGAGTTCAAGATCACTGCTTTGAGACCATGTCATTAATCCTTAGGAACCTAAAGGACTGTGTAGTGATGGGAAACCCCAACTTTGATGCCTCCGAGGATGAAAAGGCCTTGATTAAGCACAGATCTCCGGTTATCCCTGATGATTTTCGGTGTCCAATATCCCTTGAATTGATGAAAGATCCTGTTATTGTTTCTACTGGACAGGTTTGAACCAGCAGTTACCTTAGCAGTTTACAGCTTTGCATATGCACTGTTAGCCAATATTTAGCTGCTATTTTACTTTTTGCAGACATATGAAAGGTCCTGCATTCAGAAATGGCTGGACGCAGGGCACAAGACTTGTCCCAAGACTCAGCAGACTCTTTTGCATACAGCCTTAACACCTAACTATGTCTTGAAGAGTCTTATTGCTTTGTGGTGTGAGAGTAATGGTGTTGAGCTGCCAAAGATACAGAACAATTGTAGTAATAGAAGATCAGGGGCTGGTGGTTCAGACTGTGGTCGAGCTGCTATCGATGGCTTGTTTCAAAAACTTGCAAATGGTAATTCAGAACAGCATAGAGCAGCTACCGGTGAGCTCCGTTTACTGGCAAAGAGAAATGCGGATAATAGTCTGTATTGCAGAGGCAGGAGCCATTCCTCTGCTTGTAGAACTACTATCATCTACTGATTCTCGGACCCAGGAGCACGCTGTTACGGCGCTTCTCAACCTTTCCATACACGAGGCAAACAAGGGAAGTATTGTAAATGCAGGAGCTATACCTGATATCGTAGATGTGTTGAAAAATGGCAGCATGGAAGCAAGAGAGAATGCTGCTGCAACCCTTTTTAGTTTATCAGTGTTGGATGAAAACAAGGTGGCAATCGGAGCAGCAGGGGCTATCCCAGCTCTTATCAATTTGCTCTGCCAGGGCACTCCAAGGGGAAAGAAGGATGCAGCTACTGCAATTTTTAATCTCTCAATATATCAGGGAAACAAGGTGAGAGCATTAAAGGCGGGGATCGTGGCACCACTGATGGGATTGCTGAAGGATGCTGGTGGTGGAATGATGGATGAGGTATTAGCAATACTGGCTATACTTGCAAGCCATCAAGAAGGTAAAGCAGCGATTGGTCAGGCTGAGCCAATGCCAGTACTGGTAGAGGTTATAAGAACCGGTTCACCACGCAACCGGGAGAATGCTGCCGCTCTATTGTGGTCACTGTGTACAGGTGATGTACAATGTTTAAGAATAGCTAAGGAGCTTGGGGCAGAAGAGGTATTGAAGGAACTGTCGGAGAATGGCACCGATCTGGCCTAGAGAAAAGCCGCAAGCATTTTAGAACTTCTCCAACAAGTTGAAGCAGTCTGTGTTTCATGATATTCAGGTGAAACTTAGATTTCTTCCCGAAGCTCTTGTAAGTCTTCATAGTAGACCTCAGAATATTGTGCAGGAGTTTTGTTATCCTCTTGAAACATAGGTATTATATAGACAGATATGTTGGTGTATTAAATCAAGGTATTTGTGTACAAAAATATGGATGGGAGCGGTGTCTTTTTTTGTAACATCTTTCTTTTTTTTGGGTGAAATGGGATTTGTAGGGTCATGGATTGTTGGTAATGGGAAGAAGTTATATTTATTCCTCAATTTAAACATTAGAATTTTGCTTGACTTTTGAAGTGGGCAACTGATTTTAGGCGGCCTTTATGTCTTGGTACTGTAATGTTGATGTCGCAGCACACTGTTGCACCAAATACAATTGCAGAGAGTAAAATTCGATGACCTGATATGTGTTCGACACAAATTTAAAACAACACGAACTCAACAATAACACGGCTTGTACTAAAAAATGATGCAATTTGTCAACACAAATTATAAATGAGCCAGATTAATGGTATATGTGAAAGATCTATTCATTTTATAATATAAGAAAAAGAAATGAACATTTGGTATTTTTTTTTTAGAGCTAGTAATGGGTTAAATAGTTTTTTCTAATACCACAAATTTGGGTACAAACATGGACATGATCACAAGTTGACACTACAACTTGGAACTAAGGCGTTCATTTTCTATCTTCGAAAATTTTGGGCCTGTTTGATTTGTATCCTGAAAACAAGTTTTTTGTTTTTAAATACAAAACACTTTGGTGTTTTTAATTTGCTATTTTTTTAAAAGCTTTTTGAAAATGTGGCTAAATTTTGAGAACATGATATACATCTCTTTCCACTTTTCAAACAAGATTTTCAAAAATTTTGAAACTACGAAAAACACTACTCTTTAATAAAGTCTAGATATTGAACTTCATCGAAAACATTTTCAACTTTTTTTGAGACTTCAGTTCAAAAGGCTCCTTATTTCTCTCGCAACTCATCTCCCCTCTCCCCAACTCCTCTCTACTCTCTCGCAAGTCGCAGCTCTCCCTCTCTACCTGAGCTTCACTGTGAAGTTTTCCTCTTTGAATCCAACAAAGCTACCTCGTTGAAGATCTCCAAAGCTCTCTCACCGAAGGGACAAACAACTCAATATACATATATGTGCACAGATCCGTGTATACATATGTGTAAAGTGGGTTCAAGTTTTAATTTTGGCAAAGTGATATTGTTGGTGATTCTCAACCTAAACTAGGAAAGAATGCACCTGTGTCTATTTATTCTGTTATAATTACCCCACCTAAAATTAGTAGGCAAAAAAGATTGGTGTAGAATGAATTTATATCTCTATTATATTTTCGTTATTTTGTACATCATTATCTAACCAGATTTTATTATTTTATGCTCTTTAAAACTATTTTCAGAAACATATAACCAAATAAATTTTACAATATAAAAACATCAAACACACTTCCTTAAAATTCTTTCTAAAAACATTTTTGAATCCTATTTTTTGAAATACAATCCAATCACACCCTTTCTTTTCTCAACGTCCCTTTTTGCTGAGTGCTAACTATAATTCTCGAAATTCAACCAATCCATGTATCTGGGTCTGTCTCATTTCCCACTAAAACCCCTTTAAGCTCTTCTTGGGTGATTTGTCTTACCCAATTACGTCTTGGTGAGTCGACGAATTCTGGACCAAACCATCAAAATTAACCCAATTATCTGATGTGGGTCTGTTTCGATTCCCTCAAAACCCAATTATCTGACTTTTTAACCTTTTATGTGAAGAGGGCCCACTAATATTATTTAATTTCATTTTTTTCCTATCAAATCAAAACTACATTATGTTCTGCTTTACAAAAAAAAAAAAAATAGTTGTCTGCAATAAAATAAAATTGATTACTTGTTGTTAAAAAAAAAAAACTACTACTTATTTTATTTTTAACAGGACTTATCAATTTGATGTAGTGATATGAAATAGAAAGATGAGAGAAGATAAAATATTTTAGTGGAAAAAATTTTAAAAATGAGTTTTAGGATAATAAGAGAATTTTTTAAAAGATTTGAGTAAATATTTGAGTTTGTCTATTGTCAAATCAAATTTAATATAAATTTGAGTTTATATTTAAGTTATAGCTAAAAATACTCTTAGAAAATCAAAGATGTGAATTGAAGATACTGCCAAAACAAGAAAACACAATCATCTTCGTGTTCCCATGAATCTTGTGTTGTCAGAATTTTAGGATATACACTTAAAAGAATAATATTATTTAAATTTAAAAGTTTGTTTTAATTCAATAATATAAAGATGTAATTTTATAAAAATTATTAGATTAATACCTAATTTTAATGTTTGATGGGACTTACAATTAATCCAAAGGTATAATAAATTAAATTAATAAATTATATCAATAAATTAGGCCAATCAAATTTAAAACAAAAACAAAGTTAATTTTTAAGTCTACAACGACCTAACCCGTCAAAAAGATAGTGCTTGTGCTCGAAGACTACACTATAAAAAAGAGGCCAAAAAAAGATAGTACAAGGTACGGCTTTGTCGCCATATCGAAGACGACAAGTCTAAACTCATTGGTCAAACAATTCTAAACTCATTAAAAAAACACCCATAAAAAAGAGCCCCCTTCTCTCTCTCCCTATCTCTCTCTCAGAGCTCTGTGAAGTATTTCTCTCTTTCTCTCTCTCATTCTCTCTCTCACACACATACACACACGAAGGAGCAATGAAGAGTGTTGCTCTCGCCTCTCAGATAAACAAAGTTCTGAGGGAAACAGTGACACACTTCATTCCTTTTAGTTCATTCTTTGATCTTCATTTATTCCAACTGAAGAATTGGTACTAATCCATTTTCTTTTCTGCAGGGTTTGCACTTTGCATGCAGTGATGGAACCTGAACTTCTGAGCTTCCACAAAACCCTCACGAATTCAGATGTGAAACGGAACTGTGAACTGTCGAACAAGGCACGTTATCTACCGCCCAGCAATGGAGTCCTGATCGTACGGGACGTGGACGGAATACCATATCGATTTAGAGCCCCAAAAAGGAGGAGCGGGAGGCGTTCTCTGACCCAGGACTGGAAGGCTTTTGCAGTTGCCAAAGAGCTTAAAGTCGGTCAGAAAATAAGAATGTATCGCCTAGGTCATGGGAATGAATATGTCATGGAAGGGGCTGTCCAACTGTTTGGAAAGGTTATTGGTTGGCGACGACTTTAGATATCAAAGTACCTGTATGTGGGATTAGGGTGGTGTATTAATATATGACCGGCCGGTGGAAGGTTAGGCTGCCAGCGGCGTCAGTCTGTTTGTGTGTGTGTGTGTCTGTTTTTTTTTTTTTTGGGAACTCAGATGATTGAATTATATGTATGATTATCAAAGTAAGTGTTTGGGTTTAGGGCGGTGCAATGTGTCACCGGCCGGTGGTAGGTTTGGCTGCCGGCGACGTCCGTTTGTGTTTTTTTGGGAATCAGGTGAATGAAATATGTTATTTTTGTCCAAAATTTTACTTCTTTGTTGAAACTCGAAACAAATGAAAACGAAAACTCCTCAATTCAACTTGAGTAATAATCATCCAAGCAAACACCGGCTAACTATGAGATTAATCATTTTGATCCGACCTCAATGGCTTAGAGAGTTGGTATACAAGAGATATTTTTCATTGGGAGTTAAACAACTGAATTTGGTTAACTATGAGATTAATCACGGTTCCTAGTTAGCTAGTGAAGATCATAAATACAAAGCTTCCTAGGGGAGTAAGCTAGCTGAAAAGTCTCTCTCTCTCTCCCGATCAATAATAATCGGTAATACTACACTGACCAATTTTTTGTGGGTGAAATATCTCTCTCCGTCTCACCCAAAAAAAACAGAAGTGAAGTGTTGTAACTTAAAAACCAAAAATAAAAAAAAATTTTTTTTTTTGTAAACTAGATAGAATATATGTGATTAAGGTTAGAAGAATAAAATAAATCCTGATAAAGAAAATAAAAACAAAAATACCAAAACAAACACTATCAAATGAAGTATCCAAAAGCAAAAAAAATAAAATCCAAAAGAAGTCCGAAAGTAACAAATATAATTTGGTAAAACATAATTAAACTGCACCTACATACTTTCCATGTGCATGGTCAATGTAAGCCAAGAGAGAGATCAACAGATAGCCATTGAAATGGAAAAATAGGTTTAATATATGAGCAAATACTATTTGGATTTAATTTATTAACTTAATCATTCATAATAATTAGATTGATAGTAAATTTTAATAGTTGCTGGGATCTGTTTGATCTAATAATTATGATGGATTATATCAATAATCAAATTAATTCTAAATAACATTCATAATAATTAGATTGATAGCAAGGTGCGTGTCAAGCCTTTCTCTGAACTACCCGTCAATGAAAATATTAAACTCAGACTTAACAATTATTTTATGAGTAACGTTACACTGACAAAAAAATAAAAAAAAAATTATGGATCAAATGGTGTCACTTGATTCTTTGAAAAATTGAAACCCTACATTACGTCAGATTTTTTGAGATAATACCCACACCATGCATCACCCCACTCACCATGCATCACCCCACTCTCAGTTCTGATCAACTTTTGATTGTTATCTACCGTAGACAAATAAATGTTCACTGGGCATTAATTATGTCTCTTACTTAGTCTACCTTGTCATTATCTAAGCTCTAATTTAGTAAGAGCAATGTTATATAGACTTTATTTAATGATTTTATTTGATGATTGTATCATTTTTTGTTATTAAATTGACAGTAAACTTTACTATTAGTTATGATCCACTATCGATTCAATGACTATGATCTATCGTGTCACCAAATAAAATCATTAAGTTATGTACAAATATGATAACACACTGCATTTAAAAGATAAAAATGCCTTATTTTTAAAGGAAAAATTATATTTTTTAACCGTAAATATTTTCAAATAATAAATTATAACAATTAATCCTCAAAGATTGCTGCTCATACAATTTGGTTGGCCCATTTTTATTATATAGGGGAAGGGAGGGGGACCTAAGGATCTGTTTGTTTACCGGGTTTGGTGAAGTTTGGAGGGAGATTAAGAAAACTAGTTTAATAGACTCTGTAATTCCGTGTTTTATTAGCATTTTTAAACTTGGAATTCATAGTGCTAGCCTATGTTAACTATGCCAAATAGTCCTTTTATTCCTAATAAAACGTCATATTTATCAAATCACATTCCAACCCCTCTATCCCAATTACTCATCTCTGTAATTAAACAAAAATGTGTATGGATTGGATTGACCAATGAATAATATAATTATTTACAAAACAAATGTATTGATAATTGTGATAAATTTATGGGTTTCACACACACACACACACACACACATATACATATATATATATATATACTCACCAAATACGAGTATAAATATGAATCTCATGTATGCAAAGGTGTGAATTGAATTTAGAAAAATCTAATAGAATAAAAAGTTGCACATTGAGTGATATATTGCATTGGATATAAAAATATTATCTAAATATTTACATTCTATTGGACATTCAAATGGTAAGTTTGATTTTGAATTCTAGCGTATATCAGACTCACAAAATAAAGGGTAAAATAAAATTATAATTTTTTATTAGGATAAAATCATATTTTTTAACGGTTATATTAACAGATATCAACGAAAAGGGGTTACGTGTTACACGTGCACAAATGTTTTGAGATGTAAGAGTAATATTCTAAATGTGAAGGGATTCAAATGATTAAGTGACAAACATGAGAGGATCTATGTATTATTTATTAATTTAGTTTTAGGTGCACATTAATACAAATTTTTAACTTTGAGGGTGCAAATTGAGATTTTTTATCTTTGATGTCTAAATTAAGATTCGAACTATAAGTGGGAAATATCAAATGTATTTGCTCCCTCCCTCTCTCTCTCTCTCTCCTATGAACACCACCGTTTTCTGGGGCATGACTTTATATATATATATATATATAAACTTGAAAATATCAGCTGTCATTTAGGCATATATTTTATTTTGTATAAATTTTATAAAATTTTCATTGCCTAAATTTGTTCACGTACAACTACATGCGTTACTAGTTTGGGTAAAATCAAATAATACATTATTAAATTCTGACCAAGCAAAACTTAGAACAAAGCCATGAACAAGTCATGACTTATAACCTGCCAATTCTCCATTAATATTAATGGAGAATCTGGAAGTTGGGAAACAGAGCTTGATCCATCTCTTCATTTGATCTGGAAACCCATAAGCTTCCAAAGAATCCATTAAGAAACCCCAGTAAACAGTGTCACAAGCCTTCATGATGTCAATCTTTGCAATGCACCAAATTGGGCCTCCATTCTTGGGATAGTCTCTGACAAGCTCCTGTGTAAGGAAGATGTTGTCCCTAATCTTCCTCCCTAGTATGAAGGCAGCTTGGTTGGTGTTGATTAGGTCCTTCAGAACTTCTTTTATTCTATTGGCTAAGATTTTGGTGGTGATCTTATATATCACATTGCAACAAAAGATTGGTCTAAAGTTCACTGTTACGACTTTAAAATTGATTATCCAAGTGTAGATTGTGCGAAGTAATATAATACTCGTAAGCCCACGGTCGAATAACAGGAATTGTAAAAACAAGAGACACAAAATAAATAAAAGAAAACTTTTTTGAAATTTATTTGAGTAGGAATTTATCCAATAGAAGAAAGGTGGGTTGGTTAAAACAATAATTAAAATACTAAAGTATCGGGGATACCGTTTCAAATCCACACAGTAATTATTAATGATTCAGTTTTCGAACTCAATTGAAATTCAATTGAAGAGTAATCCCAATCAGAATAGTGATAATATGAAAACTTCAAAAGTTATAATTAATGAATTACCTGAATAAATATAAGATATTTAGTTGTAGATTACAAGTATTCACCGTATCCGGAGTCTACAATAAATCAAGTTTTTTAACAGGTAAATCTTATTTTATTGTAAATAATAAATCTACTATCTTATGAAAAATTTTAATTAATTAATTCAAGCATAGAATAACCAGTTATTTGACTCGCAGAGAATCTTAAACATTCGATGTACGTGGCACAACAAATCAAGAAATTATACAGAGCAAAAACTTTACTAAAGGACAATAATTAAATTAAAAGAATAAATCATGCATTAAAAAGAATATTGAATCAATAATAAATACTGTGTTTCATTGCATGTATCTCCCCTAACTTTAATTGGGCTTTTAGCAAATCATAAAACTAAAACAAAAACTAAAAAAAAAAAGATGGGAAAAGAATAACAATCTAAATCCTAATCATCCTCTCTTAATAGGTGAGAGCCCTTTATTTGTACTAAAATATAACCTAGGTATAAGTAGAAAATCTAGGGTTGGTTTGGAAAGAATTATTTTTCAAAAGAAGTCTTTTAAGGTTAAATCCCACGCATAAAATCTTGGGAGTCACGGGTACAAAATTTGTCCAGACTTCAAACTTAACTTTCGCATATTTAGAGGCTAAATCACGAAATTTTCGAAAAATACATTTTTGTAGCCCTTGAAGTGTTCTTTCCAACCCTACAAAAATTAGGTCAATTGGATGTCGAAGTCAAAAGATATGACCAAAATACCAAAAATTTGTCAAATCCTTATCTTGAAGGATACTTTTTTAATCCGACTTTAAATGAGTTTTCTTCTAAATTGAACTCTTATAAGGATTAAAATTGCTGTCTTATTTTCAAATTTTCCTATCTCAATCTTGACTCTCCAATCCTTAACAATTGTGATTTTTCCTCTAGTTATTGTTTCACTTGTCTTATCCATTATTACTTTAAATCAACAAATTTACCTGCAAAATAAACCCAACAACTAGAAAAAGTATCAAATTAAAAAATTAAAGAATTTAACACATTTAATCATAAATAATATGCAATTAATTAATTATTAAATATAATAAAATAACACTTTTGATGGTTAATTACACTCTCAACCTGAATATTACTAGTTTCTAGTAATATATGAATCCCAAAATCTAAAACCTAACAACTAAATAATATAATAAAATAAAACACAAATTCACTTTTGTAGGATTCACGATTGCATTTAGCATATGCAACAAGCCTTTAAACACCTAAGTTCTCCCTAGTGAACGAGTATAGTCTCGTAAGGGTTTCCAAAGATGATACCCACAAACATTACCCTGTGATCTAATATCTGAATAATAA